GCCTCCTAAAGTGCTGGGATTACAGGCGTGAGCCACTGCACCCAGCAACAACTTTCTTATGTATAATATTCTTGGCTGGCAATTTTTTATCTATTAGCACTTTGACTATATCATCTCATTCCCTCCTGATCTGCAAGGTTTCGGCTGAGAAATGCACTGATTGCCTTATTGATGGTGGTGATGGTGGGGTGTGTGTGTGTGTGTTGGGGGTTTCCTTGTATTATATAGGTTGCTTTTCTCCTGCTGCTTTCAAAATTTCCTCTTTGCCTTTGATTTTTCAGAATTCAATTATGATGTGTTTCAGTGTAATTTTCTTTGACTTGAGCTTTTGAGCTTCATGAATCTAGATGTCCATATTTCTTTCAAGATTTGAGAAGTTCTCAGGGAACAAACATTCATTTAAGTAAGCTAGATATTTCTTCTGTTCTCCTTTTGGGACCTTGATAATGCACATATTCATTCATTTGATGCTGCATCATAGTTTCTGTATGCTTTTGTCATTTTTAATTCATTTTTCTCTTTAGTTTCTCTGGATAATTTTAAACAATGTGTGTTTGAGGTCAGTGATGCTTCTGCATAACTGGGTTTCCTGTTGAAGCTATTAATTTTTTTTTTAGTTGTCAGTGTATTCTTCAGTTTCAGGATTTCTGTTTGGTTCTTTTAGAGTTTCTATTCCTTTATTAAACTATTTGTTTTGTTCATGTATTGTTTTCCTGATTTTTGTTGAGTTTCCTGATTTTTGTTTCTGGGTTCTCTTGAATCTCATTGAGGCTCTTTAGGATGATAATCTTTAATTCTATCAGTCATTTCATGAATCTCCATTCCTTTGTGATCAGTCATAAGGACTTTATTGGTTTACTCTGGTGATGTATTATATAATTGTAAACCGAATATATAGAAAACTGAAAAAAAATCTGTAGAAAAATAATTAGAATTAGCAAGAGCATTTAACAGGTTTTCTAGATATAATACCCATATATGGGAATCATATTCCTATTTATATGCCAGCAAAAAGCCACTAGAAAATGTAATTTTAAAAAGTTATTAAAATGATTTATTTGGGAAAAGTTCATTAGCGCATCGAGTCATTAGGTGGAAGGTTGAGAAAAGGTGAACTCTACACACAGAAGAGACTAGGCTGTCACTGCCTTGACGCACTGGTTAATCTTAGCCTCTTTAAGAGTGAGAAAACCAAGGACCAGGCACAGTGGCTTATGCCTGTAATCCCAGCACTTTGGGAGGCCAAGGCGGGTGGGTCACTTGAGGCCAGGAGTTTGAGACCAGCTTGGCCCACATGGTGAAACCCGTTCTCTACTAAAAATACAAAAATTAGCCAGGCGTGGTGTTGCTTGTCTATAATCCCAGCTACTTGGGAGGCCGAAGCACCAGAATGGCTTGAACCTGAGAGTGGAGGTTGCAGTGAGCCAACATTGCACCTTTGCACTCCAGCCTGGGCAACAGATTGAGACCTTGTCTCAAAAAAAAAAAAGAGCTAGAAAACCAGACATTATATTATATGCTCTCAGATGTGAGGCAATGTCAGTTACACAACACCATTAATTATTATTTTTACCTAAAAATGAAAATTGAATATATTCAAGTCTGTAAAGCTAATATTCAGTATCAGCACAAACAAAAAGCAAGAGATATAGAGAAACAAGTTGAATTTTATCAAGAAGAAGCAAACATACAATCCAGAATGTGAGTCATTGTATGGAATAATGGATTTCCTTTAAAAAAAATCACTGGCATTCAAAAAGTGTACATTGGAGGAGGTAAGAGACTTTCTCTAGATTAGTAGGGGATGAAAGGATCTAACAAATAAGTACAAAGTATGGGCACTTTTGTATTTTGATTCAAATAAAGTAGCTGTAAAAACTAAACTTTGATACGAATGGGGAAATTTGAATATGGGCTATATCGATATCGAGAAATTAGTTAATTTTGTTACAGTTTACATTGTTGAGAAGTGCTCTTTTTTGGAGATGCATAAGGAATCATGTATAAGGATGTAATGACATGATGTCTGGAATTTTAAATGATGGCAAAACGTATAATGTACATAGGAATAAAATATATACACATCTTTCATGGAGGAAAATATAACGCTTTGTTAGACGCCTTTTAAGGAGACCTAAAGAAATAGATAAACACACTGACAAGTTTTCGACTTAACAATAATGCAAAAGTGATACACATTCAGTAAAACCATACTTTGAATTTTGATCTTTTTCTGTGGTATGTAGTATGATACTGTCTTGTGATGCTGGGCAGTGGTAGTGAGCCACAGATCCCAGTTAGTCACACAACCAGAGAGTAAACAACTGATATTTTCCAGATTAGGTGCTTTAAATGCATTTTGAATTTAGGATATTTTCAACTTACGGTGGGTTTATTGGGATATAGCCCAATGGTAAGTTGAGGAGCATCTGTAGTATGTTAATGAATTGAAAGATCCAAAAGCATGAAGTTTTCCCCAAACTGATATTGCTTCAGTGTAATTGGAATCAAAATCCCAGAGGCTGCTGTTGGGTTTTTTGTTGTTGTGGTTGGTTGGTTGGTTTGGTTGGTTGGTTTGGTGGAACTTGACTGGCTAGTTCTGAAATTTCTATGAGAAGCATAAAGCACCAAGAATAGCGAAGACAGGTTTGAAGAAGGAAAAGGTAGGGAGCCTTGCCTTACTAATTACTTCTTGTAAAGGTATAGTAATTAAGGTGGTATAGATCTGGCACAGAAATATACAAACATAGCCACAAAACAGGTACACATGTATATAGAAACTTTGTACATGGCAATGCATGTAAATATTCCTGGGAAAATTCATTCTAAATACTTGTAAAAGAAAGAAATTTTATTCTTATCTTATACCAGACCCCTCAAAATAGAAGTATGTTCTTACCTCATAATATATACAACGTCGGTTTCCAGATGGATTAATGACTACAACGTGAAAGACAAAGTTAACGACGTTTTAGGGGAATATCTTTATGAACTTGGGATGGACAAGATTGTGTGGAAATGTCACAGAATTGTATATTGTAAAGGAGAAGGTTGATACATTTGAAACAATTAAAAATTTTAAGCTGGACATGGTGACTCATGTCTGTAATCCCAGCACTTGGAGGTGGAAGCCAGTGGATTGCTTGAGTCCAGGAGTTCAAGACCAGCATAGGCAACATAGCGAAACCTCGTCTCTACTAAAAATTAGCGGGGTGTGGTGGCACGTGTGTGTAATTCCAGCTATTCAGGAGGCTGAGGTGGGAGAATCACCTGAGCCTGGGAGGTCAAGGCTGCAGTGAGCTGAGATTGTGCCACTGCACACTAGCCTTAGCGACTGAGAGCCCATCTCAAAAAAAAAAAAATTGAATTCTATCAATGAAAAGATGTAAAGATATCATAGACTAGAAGAAAATACTTATATAACATATAACGGACGGATAAAGTATTATTATCTATAATGTATAAAGAATACCTACAAGTCATTAAGAAAAAGATACCTTAATTTTAAAAATGTACAAAAGACACAAATAACTATTTCACAAAAGTGGAAACAGGAATGACCAAAAACTGTATAAAATATTCAGCCAAGGTGGTTAAATGCATTTGACATGCATTTTAAAAGTATAATGAAGTACTATTTTTTTTTATACCCGATTGGAAACATTTAGAAAGTACCATGTGTTAATGGATGTGAAGAGTTATAATGGCCACTGTTAAGCACAGCTAGCAAGAGTATAAATTAATATAGCTTCTTGGAAAATAAAATAAGGTGTACCTACTGTATTTCCTAGCAATTTAGTTCCTAGGCCTATACCTTAGAGATCTCCTTGCGCAGGTAAATCAGAGTGCACCTAGCAGCGTTATTTAAAATAGCAAGAAAATGGAAACAACCCAGTTGTGATCTTTGGGGGAGTGGATTAAAATAATTGCCATGTATTATTTCACACCTCAGTGAAAGTGGAGAGGATTAAAAGATACATTACACTCTGAATGGTCTAAGTCTCGAAACCTATTGAAAGGGAATAATACTGAATATCATTCTGTACTAAAAAGAAAAAGGAATAATTATTTATCTTTATAAAGCTCAAAAACATGTAAGCTATAAATGAACAGCTCATATATATATATGTAGCAAAACAATAATAAAAGCAAGGGGATTTTAAACATAAATGTCGAGATATAGGTTGTTATTAATGGAGGATAGACCAATAGTAGAGAGAGGCACAACAGGGAGCTTCAGAAGTGAATATAATGTTCCATTTCTTAAGCTAGGTTTCTAGATTTTTATGTCGTTATTTTCATCTACATCTACATTATATACAGTGTATTGCATGTTTGAAATGTTTAATAATGGTAACATTAGAGTTGTTTTACAAAACTTTCTTTTTCTATCAGCCATTCTAACATTAATAATGGTAACATTAGAGTTGTTTTACAAAACTTTCTTTTTCTATCAGCCATTCTAACATTAATAATGGTAACATTAGAGTTGTTTTACAAAACTTTCTTTTTCTGTCAGCCATTCTAACATTAATAATGGTAACATTGGAGTTGTTTTACAAAACTTTCTTTTTCTGTCAGCCATTCTAACATTAATAATGGTAACATTGGAGTTGTTTTACAAAACTTTCTTTTTCTATCAGCCATTCTAACATTTCCGTGCATCGATGTCAGGAGACTGCTTCCCTGTTTCCAAAATCTCTGACTTGGTTTCTTTTTAGTCATTTCAGATTATCCCATGCCTTTCTTTTGTTTTATTATTTCATTGTTCTTCATAGAGTACATGCTGAAATACATGTTCTTTATGGGAAAACTTATTTTTGAAAACAAATGTGCTACCATTGACAGGAAAGAATTTGGAATTGTGGAAAAATTTTACAGTATATATTTATTTGTTGGTTTTCAACGACTCCTTATTGTCACTGGTGTAAGTCTCTAAATAAACATATTGTTTCTATGCATGCGTATGCAAAGCTTGATTCTTCTCCTTCTGTCATTAGGCAAGTGAAAGACCAGAATAAGAAGGTAGCAAATCTGAAGCACAAGGAACAGGTGGAAAAAAAGAAGAGTGCACAAATGCTGGAGGAGGCTCGGCGACGGGAGGACAACCTCAACGACAGCTCTCAGCAGCTCCAGGTTAGAACACAAGGAGAACCGGAAAGGATGGGGTGAAGAGATTTGATCCATAATCGCATGTTGTTTTCCTCTTCATCTTTATCCTCCTCTTTTTTCTCTTTCTAACCCTGCTTGCTGCCTTCCTCTCAGACCAACTGTTTAGCAATGAAGGAATGGCTTTAAATAGAAAATGCAAGTTTTATTCCACAGCTTTATGAGGACACCTCAGCATAGGAGAAAGTTCATCTTGCTTCAAGTTGATGACACGTAATTGGTAAGTTCAATGACAGTTTAATGAGTGGGTTATATTAGGCTTCAGGGTTATCAGTGTACTTCTCTGCCAGTTCCGTCCAGTACAATGGATTGCTAATCTTAGTTTGTGTCTTTCTTCCTTTTTTCCATTCTTCCTCTTTTCCTTCCAACCTCCCTCTATCTTTCCTTCCTTTCCTCTTTTTAAATATTCAATTTAGCAAGAATATTTTACAGTCATACAGAATGTGACATATAAACTGTATTTTTTCACTTCAGTGGAGTGATCATTGATGCCTAAACCTGATTATTCACAGATTAAGTAAACCAGGCTCAATAACAGCAGTAGCAGCTACCACATCATAAGTGCCAGTTAGGTCCTCAGTATTTGAAACTAGGCTCTGGTCATTGGTTTTGTTCTAACCTTCACAGTAATCCAAGTGGAGCAGGTGGTATTGTATACATTTTGCACCGGGGAAAATAGATTCAGAGACATTGCGTTACGTACATAAACGCACACAACTTCCGAATGGCTCAGCCATGATTTTAACTGGGACTCCCTGAATCTGTGGACTGTCCTCTTTGTCTTGATCATAATGCTTCAGAATGAAGGTGTAGATTATAGGGAAGAATACCGTAAACGCGCTGGAGTCTCTGAAACTCATGCTGGGTCTAAGCCACTGCCAGATGGTTTTTCTGTAGTTAACAGTTTCTGATTGGGTCTGATACTGTGTATGTGCCACAATTACAATCTTTACTGGAGAGATTCGGAGGAGTTACTATGCAGAAGCCATTTTGAGGCTTTATAACAAATTGATTTAACATGTGAAGAAGACTCTACTTTTTATTTTTCTCATTCCTCTTTTATGTAACTTTTACTGATTATATTTATAGAAAAAGTCTAAAATTTCCTCAAATGCACCAAATTTTGAAAAAAGCAGCACGCCAGTTTTTCCTCATCCTTGCCCATAAGTTAATATTGGCGGTTTTCTCCTCTTTCTGTTATTCCTGCTTTTTTGTTAACAAAATACAAATCTGATGAGTGGAAAATATTTCATTTTGTGTCAATTTACATTTCTGTGATTACCAGTGACATTGTTTTTTCAAGTGTTGAATTTTCTTTTGTTTGTTAATGTAATTTAAATCTCTCTTCCATTGTTAGCTTTTCCTCCCATAAATGTTCTGCTTAGTTCATCCCCATTTTGAGAGTATGTGTTTACACATAAATACTTGTAAGTTGTTCTGTGCTTTCGTATTTTTACCTTTACTTTTTAATTCATTTTATGGTATTTGTGTGGTGAGGATATTTTTTCTTTATTGCTAACAACTTCACTAGAATGTTTATAGGGAATTATTTCATTGCTCACAAACTTGAATTGATGTCTTTATATTTTATGAAATTGATGATTAGTCTGTTTCTAGGATTTCAGTTTAACCTTCATTCTTGAACTATGGCCACATTGTTGTTTAATTGTAGAAAATATTTATTTTATGATAAGGCAAGCCCCTCTTTATGTTAACGCCTTAACTGTTTCATTATCTTCCCCTCTCATCATTTAATGTTTTCTCTTAGCAATCTGTCTTTATGAACCAAAAATACTCTTCTAATCTTCTGTCAGTTGTTTTAACACCAAAAGTGCTTTCATATGTAATCTCTTGTTTCCTTTTTATATAAACTAAAAGATAAATAAGATAGATTATATTATTTATATTTTACATATAAGGAAAACTAATTTAGAGTGGATGACTGACTTCCCCAAATTGTCTAAGTAAATGATAAGTATCAAAGTTACGAAAAAGATAACTGATGGCCATGTGCAAGTTACACAGAGATGTAATTCATTCAAATACCGTGAAAAGAGCACTGGACTACAAGTTAGGATACTTAGGATCTGATCTCAGTTCTTTTACTAACTACTCAGTTACTTAAGTATATTTCTGTTTGTTTATTTATTTATTTACTTATTTTACAGACAGTCTCACTCTGTCACCTAGGCTGGAGGGCAGTTGTGTGATCCTCGTGTCTCAGCCTGCCGAGTAGCTGGGACTGCAGACCCGTAATTTTTAAATTTTTTGTAGAGACCAGGTCTCACTATGTTGCCTTAGGCTGTTCTCCAACTCCTGGCTCCACACAAACCTCCTGCGTCAGCCTCCCAAAGTGCTAGGATTATGGACGTGAGCCACTGTGCCTGGCCCCGTTAATCATATTTAGAGATCACAATCTGGGTATTAGGGGTACTCCCTACCACTGGATTGTCATTTACAACAACATAATTAAGAAATACAGCCGGGCATTGTGGCTTATGCTAATCCTAGCGACTCTGGAGGTGAGGGACGGAGGATCACTTGAGACTAGGAGTTCAAGACCAACCTTAGCAACATAGTGAGACCCTGTCTCTAAAAAAATTTAAGAAATTAGCCTGGCAGGATGGTGTACCTGTACGGTCTGAGCTACTTTAGAGGCTGAGGCTGGAGAATTGCTTTATCCGAGGAGTTCAGGGTTGCAGTGAGCTATGATTGTGCCACTGTACTCCAGCATATGTGACAGGACAAAACCCTGTCTCTGAAATAAATTAAATAAAAATAAAAGAAGTTAGGAATTCTTAGAGAAATTACTCATTCCAGGATTAGAGCAAGAAATGTACGGGATAAACCTAAATTAGTAGTTCTCAAACGTGTGTGCATTGAAGTTCCATGGAGGGCTGTTATAGATTGCTGTCTCCTATCCCTAGGGGTTTTGATTCAGTAAGTTTGGGGAAAGCCCCGGGAATTTGCATTTCTAATAAGTTCCTGGGTGACGATAACATTCCTGGATGAGGAACCACATTTTGAAAAATCACTGCCCTATAGCATCATGTGATACGAAAAATTGAGAACCTGTCAAAGACTGCTGGGGTCATGTAAGGATGGACACAGGAGCAAGAATGAAGGGGCTGTCATTGGCCTAGGACAGACAGTTGGAGCATAAGCAAGACTGATGAGTAAGTTGTTTAAAACAAAGTGTTTTTAAATCTGGCAACTTCATGATGAGACTCTAAAAGTACTTTGGAGATTGCTGGGGCACCAGTGCCCTAACACTGGGATTTGCTTTTTAAAATTCCAGTGGTAGTAGGGGAAGCGTTGGCCATTTTTTGATAGGTTATTGAAGCTGAGTGACGGTGACATGGGGTTTATGATATTATCTTCCCTATACTTTTGCATGTTTGAAATTGTCCCTAATAAAATGCTGAAAAAGAAAGATATCACTTAACCACTTGAAACTTTCATATCTCTAAAATGAGTCTTAAGAGAGATAAGACTTCACTCCTTAGACTTTAGTGTGCCTTTCAGTTCTGAACTAGCTTTTTAACCATATTTACATAGCCCTGGAATGGAGCCTTTGACTCTGGCTTCATTTCTTAGCCAAACTCCTTATTTGTGTTTTCCCTTTACTTGAGAAATATTTCCTATATTTTCCAAGTAACTTCTTTTTTCATATCTTTGCTTGAATTTCATGGAGTTGGTTTCTTCTGTTTTTAAACTGAAGGTCATATACCTTGGCTTTTGTTTAAAAATTATAACTTTTAATTAACGTACTAGAAAAATAATCCATAATATTTATTGTTTACATCCTGCTACATTTTCTTTTAAACTTTAATTTTACTTACTTGTAATACTAATACATATATACACTCTTTTGTATTTTGCTTTTTAAAAACTTTTTATCGTTTAAGCATTTCCATGAGTTGTATGTTTCATGTTGATGCTTGTACTTGTTATTTTCAGTTGACTCCAGAGTTCAGTAGCTTTACACACGTTCCTCTTTTTCTGGACATTACCTAATTTTCAGTTTTCACAGAGCAAATTTGTACAGATGAATTGTACCCAATTTGGTGATTTCCGTTGGTGATTTCTCAGAGCAAACTTAAAGTATATGAAGTGTTGTAGCTTTTCTTAAATTTCTGTTACCAAAGATGAGCTAATTTAGAGAACCCCCAGCAGTTTGCAGGCGTTCTGTTTTCCCCATAGCCACTTCGGTTCTATTTAATTTTCTGCTCATTTTACACATATATAATGGCGTCTTCAAGTTGTCATATTTCATTTATTCAGTGACACTGTCCGTTTTTCACATGTAATGATTTATTATCTGAAATTTCCGTGTCACATTTTAATTACATTTGCTACCTATCATGAAGATCTTTGCATATCACCTACTTTGGATTGCTATGTTATAAATGACATTGAGGAATGATGATTGTTGCGTATTTTTTCTCTTTCAGTCATCTTTCTTTTGAAATTTATTAGATTGTGTTGTTTAAACCTCTTTTCAAAAAAAATCTTTTAAATTGCTTACCTTGTCCTTTCTAGGCTGTTTCTTCACTTAATCTCCCATTTGCAACACAGTTAAACTTACTAGTTTCTTTGAGTTCTTTAGCTGTGTGTATGTGTTTGTTTCTTGTAAGTGTTCATTGCTTTAATGCACGTGGAGTTTATTTTATATATCTTATAAAACATAAATTTAAAGTACTCTTTCTTTACCCTGATACCCAGTTCTCCTGGTAGCACTTAGTAAATAGGTATTCTTTAAAAAATTTTTTTAAATCTACTTAATCATATGCTAGATAATCACATAGAAGTTTCCATTTCATTCTAGATTCATTGTTTTGTCTTTAATCCAATTTTTTTTTTTTTTTTTTTTTTTTTTAACGGAGTCTCTTTTGCCCTGTCCCCAAGCCTGGAGTGCAGTGGTGTGATCTCAGCTCGCTGCAACCTTCATCTCCTGGGTTCAAGTG